CTTCTCAGAGATATTGACCATCCCCAGCAGTAAAAGACCAATTATCTGAGCTCAAGATGATTCCCTGTCCCTCTCCCAGGAGTCTAGAGGTTTTAAATGTTCCTTATCTTCAACCTCAATATGTCTCTGCCAGTGCCTTGAGGAAGACAAGATTTACTGGCCATTCACCATTGGTTGAAGGATTTTGTTCTTTAGGGGTGAAGGGTGTGAGCAGGGCTCATGCCTGTGCCCCTGAAGGCAGGCTTTCTCCAGTCTTACCATCTACCCCAATATTTCTCCTGGGTACCTGATAGATGTCCATGGAGTAGAGTCTGTGACGGTGTGAACTCCTCCTTGTGTCTGTGGCTCCCAGAGATTTAATACTCTCACAGTGGCCCACACCTGACTTTCAGCACTGAATAAAATTCATAGTATTTCAGCTTGTTATGGTCACCCCATCTCCTGGCCTGCAGGTGAGAGGTAAGACGGAGTTCATATTCCATCCCTCCCCCCAAGTTCTTGTCTTCCCTTCAATTTCAGGGTAATCACATGCCTTACTACTTCAGCTCTTTGGTTCAGGAAAAGTTATGATTTTGAGCACAATCCAGCTTTCTCTTGCTGATAAGGCAAAAGTGACAGTCTTTAGAGCTTTCTACATCCTAGGAGAATCCAGATATTACTTTGGGGATTCTGAAAAACACACTATTAGGAGGATCCTCTAGAGACTTACTCCAAGGTGGTCACTACCCGCACCAGGAGTGGTCCAGGATACAGAGGGAATTTAGACCAGCTGATGGAAGAGATAGGCTCATAGGGGTCACTGGGAGACTATTGTACATATTCAGGAAGGCGTTTCAGGCCTGTGAAAGCGTCAGTAAGGGCCATGCAACAATGTCACGGGATCACCTCGGAATGTCTCCCTCTTTTCCTGATCCAGGCACATTCTCAGCCTGGGCCACCTCCACCTCCATAGGCAGCTCCAAATGGAGGGTAGGGATACTGTACTCTGGCCATCCCAAATCCTACTGTTGGATATTGCTGGCAGCCAGAAAACTTCAGGAGGCTCAGAGCTTCCCAGAGCACCATCCGTGCCCCAGCCCTCTGGGTTCTACTTGTCCTGAGGCCAAGCCATCCCCAGCAGAGCCACCTTCCTTCTCACATTGCCTCTTTCATCATCATTCTGTCTCTAGGAGGATGGATGAATCTCCAGTCCAAGACACAAACACTGATTTTGCCTCCAAAAGATTCTTTATTCCCAAAGCTGAGGTCACAAATACAAAACTTGCTTCTTCATGGCCTCTGCCCCCTCCACCTCCCCCGCCACCAGACAATTCTCCAGCCACAGTAAGATGCCTTCTTAACCTGCCATCCCTTGTGCAGGACCCCATTCTTGGCTCCTCCAGGCTCCTGAGGCTGGCTGGACATCCCATTCACAGCTCAATGTGTTCTGTCTGGGGTGGCTTCTCCACCACCTTCTTGCCAAAGAGGTTAGTCCAGAAAGCCACTTCCTTGTCCTTCAGCTTCTGGGCTGCCTGGGTGTTGGCACCAATCTGTAGGTACCCTTCCTTCTGGTTGTACTCTGGCCAGTGGGGCAGCCCTTCCCCATTGGGGTTTCTGAAACAGAATCAAATAGAAATGCCCCAAAGCTGCTATGTGGTCTGAATAATCCTCTGAGACGGGGTGAGGATGCCCAAGCTTATCTCTGTCAAGAGGCTTGTATACCTCCAGAGCTCCAGAGATGGGGAGCTCACTATCTCCTGGGGTGGCCTATCCATTTTTAGAGAGCTCTCATTGTCAGAGTGCCATGGTCACAGGGTCAGGAGTTTGATCACTAGAACCTTAGAAGCTGCCCCTTCCCGATAGGCGTCTTCTGTCCCCCCCACCCTCACCAGCCCCGCTCCGTCTTTGCCACCAGCCTCACCCATTGCGAGCAAAGTTGGCCCAGAATTTCATCACCATCTTGCTAAGTCTGATCTCCTGTTCGGAGCCGCCCTCTGTTAGGAAGAAGAAAAAAAGCATTTGTTACTCAAAGTGTGGTCCGCGGTCCTGCAGCAGCATCATCATGTGCCAGCCACGTAGAAGCACATTTTTGGCCCATGCTCCACATCCACTGAGCTGAACTCTGCACTCAAGAAGACCCTGGTGGATTTAAGAGCACTTTACCTTTGAGCATGGCTGACCTAGGGCTCAGCAATGGCATATGTGATTCCATATACTGGCTGCCTTTGCCTCCCGTGACCCTCACCTGCCTCCTCCCTGCTCGGGGTCACAGGCAATGCCACACCCCAGGGTTTCCTCTACAGCAGCCCCACCTCCCAGGGTCGCTCTGTCTTGGGTCTTTTCTCCCTCCCTGGCACACACCCACAATTCATATTCTGAAAAATAACAGAGCTCAAGGCTCCTCGGGGTGCACAACTGGGAGAGGCCCAGAGGCGCTGGTGCGTCCAGAGCAGCTGTGGGGTGAGTCCCATGTGATCTGTAACTGCTGAGAGTTAAGGTTTAGAAGACATTGTGGAAGGATTCTTTTAAATGTTGTGTAATGTAAACTAAAAACAAAATCCTGACACCCCCAACTGACTGAACAGAACCCCTCAGGGCTAAGGGGAGCCCAAAAAAACCCTACACTGAGTTCCTGCCTGGGAACGGACAGGAGGTCAGACACATCTCAGAGTTCTCCCTCCCTTTTGTGATTTAGACACCACCGACCAGCATCAGCAATAAAATGAAGGTCATCATTCTGACAGATCACGTTCCTTTTGGCAATAAGACAGCAAATTAAAAATAAGACCTAAGGCCACGCTGGGCAAGCGTTCAGGCCTGCATCTGTACCCTTAAAAAATCCACTCTGTTCTTACTGTGGCAAAGTGCTTCTGTTTCTCTAGCAGCTAAACTGGCACTGTCCTGGAGTTAAGCAAAATAAAAACAGTTACAACAGCTGCTGCTTGGAGACGCGGACAAACAGCCCTGCCCGGCCGGTCTTAACTACGGCTTTGATTGCGTAAGAGATTAATTTCAGTAACTTTCTCCAGATGAGAAGACAACCAGCCGTGGACTGGACTTGGCCAGTGCACAGAGGCTGCTCAGTTGCTGGGCTTTGCGTTCTGAGAAGACCTTTTGACTTATAGACCCTAATTGTAAAACATTTAAATACATTTAAATATTAAGTCTTCACCCCATGACCCATAGGTCATGTTACATGCAAGTTTGTTTAATACATGTGGGATCAGGACTGTCTTTATGAATATTCATTCCTTCCACTGCAACCTGTTGAACATGTGTGTTTAGCCAACCCGTTCACATAAAGCTCCTACCCAACCCCTCCTCCTTCAATGATGAGCCTATGTCTGGATTTGGCTGGAGTCACCTTCACAGCCTGTGGGATGGCCACCTTGCCAACTGTAAACAATACCAAAAATAAAGTCTGCTCTCCTACTCCAAATTCATACATCCTGTGATTTCTAAATTAAGAATTATTATGTGTATTAAATCTAAAGGTTTATGAGTTTTTGTTAGAGACAGACAGAGAAACAGACACACATTAGACCTGACTCAGGGCTAACACCAATGCTAACCTCCCCCTCACATTCTGGGCCCTCCTGAAAGAGGGAAATTGATTGGTGGCTTCTCAACCTAGAGCAGGGCCCTGCATGTGTCCTATTGCCTGTCTTGTTGATGTCACAGGCCAGGATTCTTAGCGTCTGTGGCAGAGGGCACATGAATACACATCCTCCCTCACCTGATAGAGCAGGAGGAAGCTGGGCACAGCCCACTGACATTCAACCCTGTTACAGTGAATCCTTTAGGAGACATCCCACCTTTCTTGATGTCACAGGCCATGATTCTGAGTTTCTGTGCATAGGGGATATGAATTAACATCCTCCTTCACGTGTGTTACAGAGGGAGAAAGCCAGGAGCTACCCAATGACATTCAACAGTGTCATAGTAATCAGGAAGCTAAGACCAGGAGAGGACAAACTTGCTGCAGGCCACCACACCAAGACTGGAACCCAGATCTCCTAACTCCAAGCTCAGGGCCAGCAAGGAGCCATTACCTTTTAAAATTGGGGCCCCAAAAACAGAGAAGATCTCGTCCCCATGGTCTCCTACCACCGTCTTGGGTTTCAGGTCTGATGAGAAGCTTGGACGATACCGAAACTCATACATGTAGGTGGGTGCTCCAGCATCTGAGAAGACAAGGATTCATGCACAGTTCATGTGGCCAGACACACACCTGGAGGCTACCAAGGTCTCCAGCCCTGCAGGAAACCCCTGATATCAGCACAGTAGAGAAACAGAGTCGCAGGAGAGCTCAGTGACGTGCTCGGGGCTGCACAGCTGGTTGAGGTGGGACCGGAATTGGAGCCAGGTGTTTGTTCAGTGAATGAGTGTTGAATGAATGAATGAGGAAACCCTGGGTCAATTCATTTCAATAACTGCCTTTCCAGGGACACTGGCTCAGCCGTGTAAACCCCTTTGCCTGCTGGCGCATTCTCACACAAGACAATCTCTCTACAGCTGGTTACACGGGATGTCATTCGTTGATAGCAGACTCGCGTTCATTCACTGGGATGACATCTCCACCCTGACAGGTGTCTTCTGTTCTGCCTAGTTTTGAGCATTTCCAGTGTTTTTCTCACCCTTCCTGAGAAGACTCATGCAAATCCAAGTTGCTTGTCTGAATGTGCGGCTATTTAAATACAAACATATGCGGAGCATGAACAACCTGTCTCTTGTGTCTGAGGAATCTGCACACTCAGCGCTTTATCTCTCACTCTGCCCACGTGCCTCGCTGCCTACCTGGCCTGGGAGTGTTAAGGTGTTAAGGCATTAAAGTGGCGGCAGAGAAGAGAAGGGGCTGAGCAAGGGTGACCTTGCCTCTCCCCTGCCCTGTCTCCTTCTCCTCTGCCTTCCTCTCCCACCAGCAAAGCTCTGCTGTCCCAGCCCCAAAAAGATGCCAGTTTCCTAACGATTGGCTCATTGGAGCCACAGATTGCTGCTCCTTCAGGGCTTCCTCGTGGGCCACCCAGCCCTGTGACTCAGCATTTTACATTGGTCATGATACCCATAAAGAAGGACCCCAAGAAGAAAAGGGTCAGGGCCATGCCAGCCCGCTGGAGAAAATTTACAACTTCTTTCCTTTTGGGGACAGTAAGAAATTCGGAAAATAAAATAAAAGCAATTAGTAACAGTAAGATGGACCTAACTGTCCAGCTTATTGGACTGCAAAATTCCAGTAAGAAAGGAAATAAAATTGAAACAGGAATAATAAGAAGGGACAAAAATATGGAAACACATAAAGATGAAAGTAGGTAACACTTATAATTCCATTACCTGAGGCAAGGGCTATAAATATTTTTTGTATTTCCTTCTAAAAATTTTCCATATCCTATATAATTTGAAAATCAATTGTAAAAATCAAATTTAAAACATCACTCACATCTCTACCACCCAGAGAACACTTCTTTTTTATTTTAGCATATCTCTCTTTTATTTACATAAACTTGGGATATTATATATGTTATTTTGTATTTACTGTATTGAAATTTTAAATTATTTTGTAGACATGGGGTCTCACTAGGTTGCCCAGGCCGATCTTTGATCCTCCGATCTCAGCCTCCCAAAGTGCTGAAATTATAGGCATGAGCCACCACCTCCAGCCGTCATTTCTTAACATCCTTAAATATTCATCCATAAAAGGATTTAACAATGGGAGCTCACGCATCCCTAATCTCAGGCCCTACCACACATATCATTTCAATGTGAAAAAGAAGAACAATCTATTTACTCATCTTTGTCAGCCTCCTTCACTGCACTCTTGGCTCAGCAGGAAGCGTGGTTTGGAAGAAGCCATCCTCTGTGGCTCTGTAATCCACCTGTTAAATGGCTGCTTCGAGGTCAAGCAAAAAGTGCTTAAAAGAGGGTTTGACCTTGCCTTTGCCACTCAGACATTTTCCAAAGGAACTCAGAGTCAACCATAGAGGAAAGAGCTTTCGTGAATGAGAGAACTTACTATAGGCAACATGCTGCCCAAAACCTACTTTGTAAAAACTCTTTGGTTAAAGCGACTGATGTTCATACAATTCCTACAGTCACAACACAAGTCTTCAGAGAAAACTAGGGTACAGATTTGGGTAATGACAGTTAGGCACCATAAGAGAAGCAGAGACAGTGAGAGGGCTCGTCATGAAAAACATGCAAATTAAAACAGGGTGAAGTGCTTCTTTTTGGTGGGGACAAATTGGCAGCATTAACTTTTAGTCTTAGTATCCCAAATGAGAAAGGGAGTTAAGAAATCCACATTCTTATGCACTGGAATGCAATTTTGGAATATTTGCCAAGAGTTCTAAAATGTTTCTGTAGTCCAGTCAAGTTATTCACTTCTAAAAATAATCCTAAGAAAATTATTAGACATGTGGTTAGAGACTTATGAACATTAGGCTGAGCATAATGTTATTGTAGCATCAGAATGTGAGCAGCCAGGCTAAATGTCTAATAGGTAGGAATATCAAAGTCAATTTCATACAGTCATTTCATGGAATGAGGGATCTTTTGATGAGTTCGTATCAACATTCAGAAATTCCTCACGACATAGTGTTCTATGAACGAAAGCAAAATACAAAATTGATTTTTAAAATATATAGGACATGGAAAACCTTTAGAAGAAAACACAAAAAATTATAGCACTTGCCTCCATGTAGCAGAATTATGAGTGACACCTAGTTTCTTCTTTATGTGTTTCCATATTTTTGAAACTTTCTACAATTTAACATATTAACTTTATATTTAGAAATGGTCTTTTCATCAAAAAGAGTGAGACACAGCAAAAAGTGAAAGTTGATAAGACCTGTGTAGCAAAAATAAAAATAAAAACCCCTGAACAGAAGGTCATGGGAAATCAGATGAAAAACACAAGTTCAGTATTGCTTAAACCATCAAAAGATGGAGATGGGAACACTATATATAAATCAGATGCAGAGCATGGGGCAAAGCCAAGTTTACAAAAGAACAGATCAACTCCAGTGGTCCCGGTTAAAAGGTTTTATCAGGACCCCGTGAAGAAGTGAGAGTTAATGAGCACCTGTACCTTCCTGTGCAAAGGTGTGTCTGGGCACCTGCTAGATCAGCTTTAGCTAGTTTTTATCATGCTTATGAAGTTCCACATTTAAAAACCCTTCCAGCATGGTTAGAGAGAGGACATTTCCTGTCTTGCAAACTAGGTGAGTGAGAGTTGGAAGAAAAAGAGTTCTGTGAACCTCCTCTAGCCGGCACCCAGGAGAAGATGCTCCTCTCTAGAGAGCTCATGGATCCCTAACCTCATGCCCAATCCACACAGCTTTGGGTCAGTGATTGGCACCCAGGATAGTACACTCCTCTCTAGGTGAGTTCACGCATCCCTAACCTCACCACCCACTCACACTGCCTTGGGTCAGTGGTAGAAGGTCCTGCATAGATCCTGCCCTGGCCCTCTGGCTGCCTGTTCCTACGCACACTAAGATGCACAAAAGCCAGCCTCAGACATTGCCCTCCTCTAGACCAGCAACCCCACACCTGCTATGGCTCCTCCTTTTGGCCTGCTTGGTCCTGGACAACCCTCTGGTTCCTGTGCAGAGGTCCCACTCTTTCCCCAGCTCCAATACTTAACAAACTTGTTGGCAGCAAGCTTGGACCTTAAAAAACCTTCCACAATTCATCTTTCAATATTTGTCCTACAGCAGCCCTACGTCCCGCGATAACTCCAGGCATAGAGCCCTTGCAGCAGATGCTGTCAGTGTCTCACCCATATCCCCTATTTCTGGGCATGCCAGCCTGACTTTCACCTCCAGCATCTGCAGCTCCTGGCCTGAGGCCTTTGTCTTGGTCACAAGAGACCAGTCTGTCATTGTGTTTAGCAGGTCAAAGTCACAGGGAATTAACAAATCCTTGGAACAACCTTCAACCAATGACAAGTGGAAGCTGGTGGATAAATACCCTGGCTCCCTTGCTGCTCAGATGGGAAGCACCTGAGCACTGTCTTCTCCATGTTTCCTTGATTTTCCTGGCTGCAGTTGTCCACAGTGGATACTCCCTTGGCAATGCATCATGGATTGGATTCCATCTCTTTCCTCTCTCACTTCCCTCCCTCCCCACTGCTGTTATCTGGGATCATCACCTTACAAAACCACTTGCCTCTGGATTTTTTTTTCTCAGTCTGCTATAGGCATAAACCAAAATAGGACAGCATCTCACCCCATGCCATATGGAATCAGCCTTTGAGGCCTAACCCTTGGCTGTTTCCATGTCTGTCTATGCTGGGAGGTAGGCGGGTCAGATACAGAAGTTGGTGTGGTTCGTGTCCCTCCCCTGTTCGACCTCTGGGACTCACCTCTGTGGTTTCGGGCCACAATCACAGATGGGACACCAAACATCACATCCCCCACCAAGTCCAGGAAGAGGTCTTTCTTTTTGACAGGGTCATCTGTTCCTCCTAAGTACTTCTCAGTGGCTTCTGGAATGAGTTCCTTAGGAATTTTCTGAAATAGATTAATAAAGTGACCATCACATCCTGGTGAGTGATGCAGCATCTCCAGCCCACCAGGAAGGATTGCCTCAATGGTAAACCTCACAGGTCCTGTGCAACTCCCCCCCAGGGTGAGAAGTGAAGTGGGAAGGGTGAAAAGATAGGGGAAACACCGAGGCCCCAGTCTTCCTTCTGCCATTGAATTTCTCTATGATTTGAGGCAAGTCCTCGTTCCTCTTTGGGTCTCAGACAAGTCCATGATTCCTCCACTCTTACAACACTGGAATAGGACCTCCACAAGAGTGACATGGCTGTCTTCTGGTCCAGTTTCCCTTCGGAGAGTGGATAGCTCAACAACTGTTTAAAAAAAATAGTTAAGCATTTGGGAATTTAGGGATCTTTGGGAGTTAATGAGAAGAAACAAACTGACCAATAAATCAAACCAATGCAGTCTGAAGGTCATCTAATTTTACTGGGCTTTCAGGGACATGGGTCTTTACTGAAATGAGCAAAATCCGTGAATCAAATGGCCTTATATCCAGAAACTCAAGCATTGCAAAGATTACCAAAAAATAAATAAATAAATTCAGAGGAGCTGTGGCAGTGTTTGACTCTGTGTGTGTGTGTGTGCGCGCGCGCGCGCGTGTGTGTGTGTGTGTGTGTCAGGATGGCATCCCTACAGTGGTCAGTGATACGGAGAGGGAAGATTTCTGCCAGGCTAGTGTGGCATAGAGAGCTCTGGGGAAGAGGACTCAGATCTCCCAAGTACTACCATGTGTCACAGATGACACTGAAAGCCCCAGATCCTGCCTTCATGGCTTCGGTCTTTGGTAAAACCTCTGAAATCCTTCTGAGGGGTAAACAGCACATCTCTCTGCACAAAATGACTCTGCCCAAACCTCTGCACTCAGAGACTCAACCAAACTCTAGCATCGCTTCCAGCAGCTTAAGACTGTGTCCCTAGAATGACCCCAGCCAGCATCCTAAAGGTGCCTGCCTGTGAAGACTCAACTCTGCCAGGAGAATTTACTCTTTGCTCCAGCCAAAACCTGGAGAGAAGCAGACAGGCCTCTGAACCCTCCTACAGCAGTTACTTTAGAAAGCCTGCAATGAGAAACCCTTTCCCTGTCCTTTGGGTTGTGAATCTACCACCCAACCATATTTCCTCGAGGACCTGAGAGCCTTCTCTTTGCAATGCAAACATTCAGGAAGCTCACTCTTGCTCTTCCCAGTCCCTGTGGAAAGAGTAGAGCCTGACCTCAGCGGGTTCTTCCTGCAGTCTAACACACGGTGTCCTGTTCTGAAGACAAGAGGAGTTTGTTTCTGCCCCACGTGAGCCAGGATGAAGAGATCCACGCGGTCTAGCCACGTGGACCAACCCTGTCCCCACAGCCCAAAGTGTGTTTCCTTGGCACACCTGGCCTATGAAACATTGCCAGGCTTTTGCTTTGGGATGTGAGTCCAGTCCACACTGGACTGTTTCCCCTATTGCAATCGTGTTACTGAATAAACCCGTCCTACTGCTGTAACCAGGGTCAGCTTTGTTCACCTTCAACTGAAAGGAGAACTCTACTTTACTTTTAGAAGCCAATCATTTTTTCCATTTTTTTCCAACTTTTATTTGAGTTTCAGGGGTTACCTGTGCAGATTTGATACATGGGTAAATTGTGTCTCTGGAGTTTGGTGTATAGATTATTTTGTCATCAGGTATTGAGCATAGCACCCGATTAGGTAGTTTTTCCATCCTCACCCTCCTCTGACCCTCCACCCTCAAGTAGACCCAGGTGTCTACTGTTCCCCAGAAGTCAACAGTAACTCAAAAGAAGCCACTTCCTTTGGATATTTCCCATGAAGTGATGAAGAGCATGAGTGAATTATGGGAGAACTACGCATTCCCAGCCCAAGTTAGAAAGCCCCCACCTGCCTCTTGGGACTCCTCAGCTCCTTCTCCCTTCTAGGTCCCCTCCGTTTTCCCATCTGCACAATTATTTTCTCCCTCCCAGCACAGACACTTCAGGATTCTTTAACAGGAAGACAATCAGGGAGTCTGGGGAGAGGGGATTCCAGGACCCTGACACCCGGTGACAACTGAGCCCTCCTGGAGGAGGTTTCCATGAAAATGTTAGTCCTGCTGAAGGGAACAGCTGCCCAGGACTCAGCGAGGCTTGGAGAGGGAAGCACTCCTGGGACCAGAGGCGGGAGGGTTCATGAGGGGTGGTGAATCCCTCCAAGAGGCCTGCGCGTTCTCACCGTTGGAAGCAACCAGCCAAACTCCTGCTTGTTGATTCCGATCATGTAGGGAACAGGGTGGAATTTCCTTTCAGCTTGCAGCTCCTCAGGTGTTTTTGGCAGCACAACCCCGTCAATCACCGTGGGCAAGAACACGCGACTCTGGGGGAGAGAGCAGCACAGAGTCTGTGATTCCCTCCCTGGTCACACCCTCCCTGATTCTGCCTGTCTGAGGGTGACACCAACACCACAGACTGGCGTGGCCACGGGCCACGGCTACACACGCTCGGGTTCCTAACCTCAGGGGGTAGGTGTATGTGACCCAGGGGTAGAACTTCAGGCAGAGGCTGGCAGTGGCCAGGTGATGGGGAGAGGAAGAAGCCTTCACTCAGTTTGAAATACATGTATTATCTATATAAAATTACATGTGTATATATTTCAGTTTGAGGTGTGTGCATTCCTCTCTCTGCATCCACAGCTGATTTTTGGTAGTCTCAGCAGTTGTTTCCGATAAAGCTCCCATCAGTCTGAATTAGAGAATACAGTCATCACTCAAAGGGGAAATACTGGGTTAGGTTGTTGGAAACCTCTGGTCACATTTTCATCAACCTTCTTTTATGCGTGGGTTTCTGTGGAAAGACACTTCCATCACAGACAATGGGTGTTACTTTAGCACTTCCCATCACAGCCTCATGTATGAATCGGCCAGTTTCCTTCTCCTTTTTCTGGACGTGCTGTTTTGTGGATTTTTCAACACTGAATGCACGGCCTGCAGCACTGCAGCTCCTGCCTCATCCAAGCTTAGTTCACACAGGTGCCTTCCACGTATAAGGCACAGCACAGCCTGCTTAGCTAGGGAACGCAAGACAGCAGCGCTACTCTTGGGGGCCACTCTAAACAGTGACATCACCACAAAAAGCACAAAAGCGTAAAACACATGGCACTAAATAGGCCGCAAAGAGGACACTTGTTAGCATGAGAGATGAAAGGAGAAGACAGACTGCCTCACTGGAGCTCAGATGGAACACACTCATCATGCAAATCCAACTTCCCCTGCTCTGCGCCTGCCTGTGTGTGACCACCAAAATGCCGCCAGTATCGATTTTGGGGTCACAAGGACATTGCAGCAAGCAGGTGAATTTATAAATGCAGAATCCATGGTTAGTGAGGAAGAGATTGTACCTATGTATCTGTATTTAAACATGAACTGTTGTTGATCCACGGATGGCTTTCAGGACGTACTGAACCCTCATCACTCAAGGAGGCTAGACTAGGACTTGAGTCCCTATTAGAGAGGAAAATCATGAATAACAGAATCAGGGATGAACTTGCAGCATATTGATCCATGTCTTAATTTTAGGTTTTACCTTTGATGAGTAATTTTTATATGGTCACAGATTAGAGAGATCCCGACTCATGTGTTCCCATCAAGGCAGTTGGTGCGTGGTTATATTTCATAGTTAGTTGCAATGGTGTAGTAGTTAAGATAGAACATGGATGTTGAAACCAGATTACCTGGATCTGAAGCCTGGCTCTGCTACTCACTGGCTGAGAGTTTCACTTATTTGAGTCTGTTTTCTCATCTATGAGGTGAGTTATTGTGAGGATTAAATGGCTGAACACATGGGAAATACTCAACACAGCACCTGGTGTCTGGAAGGGCTGAATAAATGTTAGGTATTACTTGTTAGCAGGGTTCCTGCGGGTCCCTCTCATAGACACCAGTCCTCTGTGCCATCTTCCCAGCTCCACACCCCATGGGCTGTATTTCCCTCCTGGGTATCAGATGGAACTGGACAATTCTTAGGCTTTGAGACCCTATCGCTTCCAGGACCTTTGGTCTGCTCTACAAGAGCCAATGAATGACAGGCCAGTTCTGGCTGCCAGAGGGAGATGTTCTGTAAAGTGGACCACAACCAGCTGTACAAGAATCAGATCCTAATCCAATATGGCGGACAATCCAGAACAGGATTGGGTGCAAGTCCATTCACCTTGCGTATCTGTGCCATTCAGGCAGGGCTGCTATGGGAGGCCAGCAGGAGGAGTAGCCCTTCTGGAAGGAAGGAAATTGGCCAATTCATTTCTAAACAGTGGGAACAGCACAAGCAAAAGAACACTTGTGTCACCATTCGGGGTAAATTCCAGAAAAACCCAAGAGTCCTGGGCTTAGAGGGAAGCAGTGGGGTAAGGGCTAGAGGAAGGGACCGGTGGCACAGCCTACTTTCTGCACCGTCTAGTACATAGCCGGCACTCAGGTGTGTTTTAAAAGACCAATTCCATGGAGGGAAGGGGATTTGTCTCATAAGGTAGGTCAGGCTTTTAAGAAGTAGGGGTGATGTGCTCTAACTCTGTTAAGGAAGGCCAGTCTGGCTGTACCATGAGACATGGAAATGGGGAGGGGAGGTGAAGTAGAAGAGGATAAAAGTTGAGGAGAGAGACTGGAGCACCCAGCTGGGCGGCAGCCATGCCGGGAAGCTGCCATCAGCAACGGTGACACGTGATGGCTGCTGTCCACTCAGAGTTTGCAAGTGGCTGCCCTGTGTGGCCATGACCTTGCTTGGGTCAGAAATCTCAGGGCATCCTCCACTCCTCTCCCTTTCTCACCCCTTGCATCCCATCCATCCGCAAATCCTCTCAGGATTCCTTCAAAGATATCCAGACTCCAACCACTTCTCCCACCCCCACTGCTACAGCCCTGTCTAAGCAGCCAGGAGCCCTTGCCTGGATCAAGGCAGTGCAGTGCCCGCCCAGCTGGTCAACTGCTCCTGCACTGGTCCTCTCCACAGGCAGAGAGCTTTGTGAAATCTAAGATCATGTGACTCCTCTGTTCACAACCTCCAAAGGCTTCACATCTTGCTCTGAATCCAAATTCAGGTCCTTTAAATGATCTCTTTCTCACCTCCCATTATCTCTTTAGCCTCAAGCCAGTCTGTCCCCACACTTGGTTCTCCTCAGCCAGACTGGCCATTCCATCAGGGTCTTTGCAGTGGCTGTTCCCTCTGCCTGGAATAGGCTTTCCCAGGTCTCCTGACAGCTGGCTTCCCACCTCCTCCAGAGCTTAGCTTAAATGCCACCTTCTCATTGAGCTATTCCCTGACCCTGCTACTTATATTCAAACCACCTGCAAACTCTGTCCTAATGCTGTACACCATCAAACAGAATATGCACTCGATTTGCTTTTTGAGTGCACTGTCCCTGCACTGCAATGGAAGGTCCCAAGAGGGTAGGGAATCTTTCTTGTTTCACTCCTATATCCCCAGCTCCTAATCAGGTCCAGGCACATAGGAAGTGCTTATTAAGTCTTTGCTGAATGAATCTCACGTACTCTGCCCAAGACCATTGAGGAGAGTGCTGTGACCACCAGGGAGGCAGCAGAGAGGACAGGATTGTAAGATGCCGCAGAGGTGATGTCACAAAAACTGTCAACTCATTCGGAGGTGGGGATGGGGTGAGGAGATCGGGAGGATACTGTTGGAGATTCCTGTGTGCTGGGAGCATGGGGGTGTCTTCGGTCTGAGATTTAGGCTTCCCCACTCCATGGCTAATCATCCTTGTTATCTCTGCCTCCTGATAGTGGAAAGTTCTGGGTCAGCCTCCTCTCATAGTGCCGTTTTGGGGAGCAGAAAGTTTAAAAAAGAAAGGAGCAGGCAGAGCCCAGTGTGCACAGAGATGATGCCTGGGAGCACTGGAATGGGAGTCAGGAAAATGAGTTCCAGGCCTGCCACTAGTCCTCCTGGCTGTGTTATCCAGGCAAGTCACTGTCCCTTCTGGGCCTCAGCAACAAACACACAGGAGTTACTACAATTACCCAGGATTCTTTCATCCATAGTTAATTGGAGCTTAAAGGTGCTAAGACTCAAAACCTGCAATCAAGAAACAGAAGGTCCTTACCTCTCTGGGATCTCCAAGTAAGTCAACAGATAAGAATTTCTGTGAAGATAAAGGCAGAGAATGTGAGTGTGAGGCTTCCCAAAAACACTGAGCTGGGTGAACAGGGCAGCAGGGGTGTCAGGTTCTGCCTCCTGGCGCCGAGCTGGCTGGGCCAAGAGGAAGTGGGCGGACTCTGGCTCTACTTGACCTGAGCACAGGGCAAAGGCATAGAAGTGGTGGGCACCAGCACAGGAAGGACAGCCTGGGGACTCTGAGCCAAGGTTGATGGAGCTCTGGAGAGGACTGCCCAGCCCCCAGTCCTCTCCCGTTCCTGTTCCTCTGGGAAGAACACGCTAATTCTC